TTACATTCTCTGAGGATAAAACAGCCTTCTCTCATATCCTTAAGAAATTATTCTCCCTGAGTGTTTGTAGAGCAGCAATCAGAAACCATATGTGCAGAGAAACATCTTTTTTTTTTTTTAAGAAAGAGAGAGCTTAATGGGGTTTGAAAAACTGCGTAACACGATTGGCTTCACATCTGGAAAAGAACATAAAATAACTTGTACTGTCAGGAGGGTTTAATTTTCCATATGTTGTTTCAACTTCTAGTTAATGTGAGGAAGGAGATGCCTCATTATTTGACTGATTGCACAATTCAGTCCAGAGTTTTAAACACCAGTTTATGCAATGTAATCAAAGGGAACGCGGAAACTTTAAATGCTTCAAATGAAAACAGTTTAAACAAGCAAATTTTGAAATAAAAATAGCATCTTTGTTATTATGTAGCACGACCAATAACACTTCTAGAACTTTGTTTTAAAACGCTTACTATTTAAATAACCAAAATAAGATGTTAGAAAAATGAAGTGATTTCACCCTTATCTTCTCTTTTCGTAACTGCTTATGCTTCTGTTGATGTGGAACTTGGCAACTTTACCTTCATTCAATGTATGATATATACTTTTGTGTGTATAAGAAAGCAAAGAATCTGGATGCAAGTGTAAAATCAATACATAAATCCACATTTTCAGGTTGCTGCTGTGACTGGCTGGGAAATTCAGCTTTAGGGGCTTGATAATTATTGCAGATCTCTGCTGGAGCTCTGTGAAATTCAGGGGGACTTGTGTCAGTATAATTCAACCTGGAGAAAAGGAGGCTGAGGAGAGACCTTCTCACTCTCTACAACTCCTTGAAAGGAGGCTGTCGAGAGGGGGGTGTTGGTCTCTTCTCCCAAGGAACAGGCAATGGGACAAGAGGAAAATGCCTCAAGTTGAGTCAGGGAAGTTTTAGATTGGATATTAGGAAAATTTTTACACTGAAACGGTTATGAGGCTTTGGAATGGGCAGCCCAGGGCAGTGGTGGAGTCCCTATCCCTGGAGGTATTTAAAAGCTGGGCAGACGTGGTGCTGAGGGACATGGTTTAGTGATGGTTTTTGTTGGGTTGATGGTTGGGCTTGATGATCTGAAAGGTCCCTTCTAACCTTGGCTATCCTATGATTCTATGAAACGGAGAGTAGGCTGTTCAAATGTTATGGTTTTGGGTTGATGATCTGAAAGGTCCCTTCTGACCTTGGCTATCCTATGATTCTATGAAATGGAGAGTAGGCTGTTCAAATGTTATGGTTTTGATAGCATTTGTACCATAGGAGCAGGACTTTCATTTATTCTTATTTTTCTACTCTGAAAGGAAGCACAGGACATGCATAAAGGTGCAGACATATATCTATAAAGATATGTCTACTAACTTTTTCTTACTTTTTCAAGATGCTACTGAGAAGGAAGTGGCACCACAGTTTGTCAGTGTGTCTTCATTTTTGATAACTTTTTTTTGTTCTTTATGTTGCATACACAAACACGTGTCTTAAAGGCTTTTAAGCTCTGATTGTTATATTGAGCAGTGTGTGAGTAGTTTGGCTTAAATCTTTGTGAACAGCACGTTCCCTTGGCAATGTGGTCTTATTTTGTTTCCAAACTGGTAAAGAAACCATCTTTCATCTGAGACGTTGAGCAATCAAATTCTGAGCTGTTAAGAAATTTTTTTTTTTTTTTGATGTATGATTTGATTTCATTTTTGTGATGAACATCTGGACAATTTTCAACAAAGGAAATAAAAATAGTAGTAGAGGCAGTTCGTTAACTCCTAAATAGCTCCTGGCAAGTGTATTCACTTGATTCCTCTCAGGCTGTTCCACCGCACTCAGTGGAGTTATAGGATTTCTGGAATAAATGGATATCTCTCTGCCTTCCTGGGTACTACATAAATTTGCTTCCCAGGTGTTCTCAGCATCCTGATATTCAAGGGCTGCTCCAAGGTGGCCTGTATCAGGCAGAGAGAGGAAGCAAGGGCAAGGAATTCATTACCTCGCAGAGATTTTCACATGGGAAAGATTAGTGTTAGTGGGTCAGATTAGCATCTACCCACAAAATAATTTAAGGCGAGTTATGGAACGACTCCCGCGAGGAGCAGTGGGGTCTTCTCCTGGGGGCTGGGCTTTGGGACCACCTTCCCCAACGCATTGGCCACGAACTGAGCCCCTCGCCGCAAGCCGTGACCTGTCTTTGACTGTCACCTGGGCGAGTGAGATAATTCCACCGACAACCAGGTTATCCAGGCACATCTGAGCTAATACCTTAATTACACATTGAATTATTTTTTTCCGTACTCCCCGCAGGCTCGTGGAAGTCAGGGCTGTATCACAGGAGGGGTTTTTTTTATGGTTACAGCTGTGTCCTCGGGACTTGCTGGGAAACGGTGGAGTTCTTTCAAACCAGCAAAATACACACCTAACTCTGCTTCACGTTTCTGAGCTTTCCTTCACAGCAGTTTCAGGCGACACCTTTCAACCTGCTCACTTGAGGAAAAGCTGTTCTTAGGTTTCTCTTCCTCAACAATTCAGTGTGTGGGTGCTTATTCTAATACAGGGGTGGCTTCCTCCAATGGAATGTAACATTTCAGAAGAGATACCACACTTCAATAAAAGCTGATGTTCATGAGGTTACATTTCTTGTCCAGACAAGCCCTTGCTATTTTTAAGATGGAAGCGGAGATCCCATAGAGGAATGTTTTCTCCTTCCAAGCTCTGATAGAAGGTTAAAGTGGAGAGTTTTGGTCCCATAAAGTACCCATCTTCAAGTACCATCCCACAGCAAGCGTGTTATTTCCCTCTGGAAAAGCAAATCCAGAATTCCTTCTCTAAACAAACATAACTCATCGGTTCCCTTTCTTTCAGCTTAGAACTTCAGGTCCCAGACCATTCTTTTGCTCTTTTTGGTGATTATTTTTCCATGTGTGTATCCTTTCATGTATGTACTCATTCATTTGTAGTCATGAGAAGTGCTGACAGGAAAAGAAGGACTTATTTTGGTACCTTTAAACATTTTTGAATTTGTTCCAGAACTGAAAAAAATTGTGAGGAAAAGCTCTTCTTGGATTTCTATTCCTCAACAATTCAGTGTGTGGGTGCTTATTCTAATACAGGGGTGGCTTCCTCCAATGGAATGTAACATTTCAGAAGAGATACCACACTTCAATAAAAGCTGATGTTCATGAGGTTACATTTCTTGTCCAGACAAGCCCTTGCTATTTTTAAGATGGAAGCGGAGATCCCATAGAGGAATGTTTTCTCCTTCCAAGCTCTGATAGAAGGTTAATGTGGAGAGTTTTGGTCCCATAAAGTACCCATCTTCAAGTACCATCCCACAGCAAGCGTGTTATTTCCCTCTGGAAAAGCAAATCCAGAATTCCTTCTCTAAACAAACATAACTCATCGGTTCCCTTTCTTTCAGCTTAGAACTTCAGGTCCCAGACCATTCTTTTGCTCTTTTTGGTGATTATTTTTCCATGTGTGTATCCTTTCATGTATGTACTCATTCATTTGTAGTCATGAGAAGTGCTGACAGGAAAAGAAGGACTTATTTTGGTACCTTTAAACATTTTTGAATTTGTTCCAGAACTGAAAAAAATCCAAACTATTTCAGTAGTTTTGGCAAGACATAACAAAATCTGAATATTTTCATACTGATAAAAAATGGTCAGGTTTTACTCTTTTCATTGTTGAAACTGCATTATGACTGAGATAATTTTATATAATTTTTTAACCAGATTAATATACCTTAATGAAATGTTTGGGTGTGCAGTTATTTGTATATCTTTGCAGGCAGACCAGCTTGTGAACGCTGACTGGTGTGGTTTCTTGCACACACAGATTTCCAAGGTTAAGTGGGGTTAAATTTAACATTATGGCTCCTAAATGATCCTTTATTGAATTTATAAGGTATCAGCTACTTCTACCCGCATCAAAATACTTGGGCATAATATTTTATAATTTTTTAGCTTGGTTACCTCCACTTTAACAAAAGGGAAAGGCTAGAAGTCTCTCTAAAAGTGAATTAATAAGGTATCGGTTACTTTTACAGGTATCCAAATAGTTGGACATAACATTTTATATTTTTTTCAAATTATAACCAAAAGGGGAAAGCTAGAAATCTCTCTAAAAGTGGAAGGAGGTCCAAATAGCTGCAGGACCAAGAGCCTTCAAGGACCTCACTGTTAACGGTTAATTAATTAATCATGCCTGTAGCATGGTCGGCACCAGAAATTAAAAGCCCTGTTAATTAAAAGCCCTCTTCCCCGTCCCAAACTGGGACCCTCAAAGGAGGGTGACCAGAGGAGGTCCAGTGGAGGTGGTGGCCAGGGGTGGGAGATGAGGGAGGGACGGGTCCCAGCTGTGTGGGGCCATGGTAATTTGGGGTGAGGAGGTTAATGACCCTCCATCGCTTCTCCATCGCACCGTGCCTCTGCCCAACCCCAGGCTGGGGGTGTCTTTCTGACAAACAGCTGCTTCCCCTCCCCAAAAAAATAATCCCCCCCCCAACCCAGCAGCACCTTTTGTGTGAACCCAGGACTTTCCACACTCGTTAAGCCATGGAGTTTCTGGTTCTGGTGGGTGTTCATTCAAGAGGTTGGCTTTCTGCAGGGAAGAAAAAAACAGAAAGGAAAAGTTGTATTGGTGTGAATATTAAGTGAAATTTGTTCTTTCTGTAATTTCTCTCCAAATTCACAACACCCCCATCGTGATAAATCAGGCTTCTGTGTTGTTGGGTACAGTCGGTATTTCTGCTCTTACATACAGGCAGCATGTTGATAAAGATGCTCATGACATTCTTTAAGCTGCTTTTCCTGAAGATTTTTAATCAAAAAACCATTCAGTTTCACCTCAAATTCATCTTCTGATACAAAGCTATGATAACCTCAGTGTTTTACATAAAGATGTGTTTTAAGAGGCTTCAGTATTGGACTTAAAGTTTTATTTTTAACTTATTATTAGATTTTAATAATAGCCCACCTTTTCTTTTCCACAGGATTATTTTACAGATGAAAACAGAGTACTTAAAAAAGACCCTCAACAGGATTACCACCTGGAATACGCCATGGAAAACAGCACGCATACAATATTGGCTTTTAGCAGAGAACTGCACACTTGTGATACAAATGACAAAAGCATAACGGTAAGATGCTCTGCCTTTATGTAGTGAGATGAAGTAATTAATGCAGGCCAAATGCATACACGATTATGAAGCTGGTTATTAAATTTGTATCATAGTAAAAGGACTGAATTAGAGAAATTCACTCTCCAAAACATGTTAGGTCTACTTATATATACTTATATACTATATACATAAATATATACTATATACTTAAATACTTGTGCTGGTATATAAAATACTATTAAGTATATTAAATGCTATGAAGCTCCTATATTTTAATTTGAGCTTTCTTTTTCCTTCTACTTTAATATATTATGTTCTCTTAATTTTTCACATACCAAGTGAACACAGGATTGAAAGAGGTACCTCTGGGCCATCGAATCCCGTGTCCCACAGTTACAGTCATTCAAGAGATGCCAACTTGAGAAACACTTTTTAGGTCTGACACTAACTTGTAATTGATCTTAAAGGTAGACTTTTAAAAAAACATTGGGGCAGATATATATTTATAGCATATTTTTGGTTTTATTCCTATATTAAAAATAAAGAAGATGAAGACTTCTGTGATAAAACTCTTCCCATGCTAAAATACTTTTAATGGTAAATTCTCCTGTTGCCCTGGGGACTGCTGTGCTGTTTCCTAAGGATAATTTTAAATTATATGAAGTTGATGGTTTTTGTATCGGGAATGACAGATTGGATTTGCAAGCCTTTCTATGCTTTGATTTGTTTCCTACTCATTTTGGAAACGTTGCTGTAGTTGTTCAGCACTATTTTCATTATCTGTGTTTTCACAATATAGGCTAAACTAAGGACATGAGGAGCTGAGAGGTGCAGGAAGCAAAGCACAGCTGTATAAACGGCCAGATGTCCAGGCAGCCAATGGATCTATGGTTTTTGCACCTGCTCTGAATTGTCTCCGTATAATTTAACATTCTGAGACACTTCAGGATTTATTAGATTATTTTGTCTCAAGGGTGATGATTCCCACCTGAGAATGGTTTGCAGAGAATTGACCTGTGCTGTGGCTGTAAATTGATTTTTAAGACATAAATCTGTTCTGTAACTGTATGTCTTTCTTCCCTGGCGTGCAAGGACAGCAGTTCACAGAAGGTTTTTCCCATCTTTACAGAGCTGATCCTGGGAACTGTTTTGGCAGTAAACCTGTTCGTTTGGTGGCCAAATGAGTGGCATCTCTGGAAAGAAATTGCTTGATGTGTTTAGTTGGTTCCCTCTCTGTGAGTCTGTTCTGCTGTTTGCAGATGTGATTTAAATTTGAGGCATTAATGAAGTAAAGTCTCTGAGAGATTAAAGTTCTGCAGATCTGCAATGAACCCTATAAGTATAAAACATTATTAATTTTAAAGGTAGTAGGTGACTGCTCCTCTGGTATAGAATCATAGAATGTTTCAGGTTGGAAGGGACCTTAAAGGTCACCCAGTTCCAACCTCCTGCCCTGGGCAGGGACACCTCCCACTAGACCAGGTTGCTCCAAGCCCCATCCAGCCTGGGATATACATTGTCATTGTTCAGGTACAGCAACACTACATCTTACCAATCTGAAGTATTCTATGAACCATCCAAGGAAGATCTTGTTCCTATTCTTGATGGGTTTTTTGGTGGTTTTCATATCTTTTTCCAGGAGAGCACAGTGCGGGTAATATGGGCCTACCACCACAAAGACATGGGAGAAGCAGGTCAAAATTACCACGGGTCTAATCGGGGTGCAAAGAGTCTACGTTTACTGAATCCCGAGAAGGAAGAAGTCTTATCTGCCTCTTTGCCATACTTTGACTTGACAAACAAAGACGTAAGTTACTCCGGGTTTTGGGTTTATGTGGAGATGGGGAGAAGGTGGCAGCCAAAGCTTTGGGCGACTGCAACAGGGTGATGTGACTTTTATAATCGTCTTCTTGCCCTTTTTATTAAGACAGGTGCCTGTACCAGACAAGGATACGACATATTGGTGCCAAATGTTTAAGATTCCCGTACAACATGAAAAGCATCACGTAACAAAGGTGAGTGACTCTGATTGAGCACATTGAGAGGAGCCCAGATAACAATTATCCTTACACTTTCAAAATTTGCTTCAGTGCTTACTGGAACAAAAACAAGACCTAGTGTCAGTCTTCACAAACATGGGTTAAATGTGTGTGTGTGTGTGTGCCCAGGACCTGATCCTGGTGAGCCCTGGTAACCAGCACACACAGTGACAAAGCCCCTTTCTTTCTCTTCTCCTACTTCCTTTCTCTATCTTAAGAAAATGAGGTTGAAAATCATCCAGTTCCAATCCCCTGCCCTGGGCAGGGACACCTCCCACCAGACCAGGTTGCTCAAAGTCCCATCCAGCCTGGCCTTGAACACTTCCAGGGATGGGGCATCATCTATTAGCACAAGGTGAAGAAATAAGTAGCATAAGAGATCTCAAAATCAGTTGAAGGTAAATTATGTAAGACCTTATGTCTTTTCTTTCTCTTTACATAATTTTCACGCTATTTTCCAAGAACCTCAGGTAATGAGAAACAGCATATTTTCCATTGACTGATGTAAGCTTGATCAAACAGCGCTCCATGTGCACGAGATAAGATTGTAAATCTTAAATTGTGCACGAGATAAGATTGTAATCTCGTGTTCATCTTATAGGTAGAATAAGGACATGGATGAGTAGTTTCTCCTTATGCTGCCTTTACCAGTGGAGAACAGAGATAATGGGGCACTCAGCCAGGGTTAGGACTTCTCTGTTTAATCTTCCTTTGTTTCATATCTCTTGGAACTTCTTCCCTAGGGAAGAGATTGTGTCTTCCTACGTGTCTCCACAATGCCTTCTGTTACAAGATCTTCTCTGATGCCTGCAGGGACTCCTGCAGAAATAACTCATAATAATATTATGCCTGCTAAGAAATAAAACAAAATAAGATGATTTCTCAATAGCTGGACATAATAGTGATAAGAGTTATCCAGATTACAACCAGTACCAGGCACTGAGCTCGTTTTGTGACCCTCATGGAATACATCACTCCTCAGCTTCGAGCAGCAGGGGATGCTTGAAAATTTGTTAAACTTCTACAGGTTTTCCTTTCCCTGTGTTTTCTTTTTTTTTTCAGCAGAACCAACTATCAGGATAACAGGTCAGTTTTGAAAATAGCTGTATGCAGAATGGACGAAAGGGGTTGCTTGGAGGTGATAAAAAGCAACCGTCTGTCTTCTAGTTGGCTGTTGGCAGGATGGTCCTGGAGTGGTGGACCCTGGCTGCTCTTTGAGTGGGAGAGGGCACATCACTGCCTGTCTGCAAAATCCTCCCGCAGCTACATGTGCATTGACCTGTTTTGCTGCTTTGAGCTTCAGGCTGTGGTATGTGCCTTGGGCTAAATTACAGGGATTTTTACTTTTCTCACATACGGAAATTAGCCAGGAGCTTTCTCAGAAGTAGCCTTCTTAGGAAAGTGTTTCACTTATTAGCCCAGACTTTCTGGAGATTGGTTTGAGCTTATTTCTTGCTAGGATTTTTGCAGTGCTCTGCAAATATCATAGACTCATAGAATGGGTTGGGTTGGAAGGGACCTTAAAGACCATCCAGTTCCACCCCCCCCCCCCACCAGCCCAGGTTGCTCCAAGCCCCATCCAGCCTGGCCTTGAACCCCTCCAGGGATGGGGCAGCCACAGCTTCACTGGGCACCCTGGGACATGCTCTCACCACCCTCACAGCAAAGAATTTCTTCCTAATTACTCATCTAAATCTCCCCTCTTTAAGTTTAAAAGCATTGCCCCTCATCCTATCACTCCTGTTATATCACTCCACTCTCCTGGAGCCCCCTTTAGGGACTGGAAGACTCCTGTCATATCACTCCACTCTCCTGTAGCCCCTTCAGGGACTGGAAGGGGCTCTAAGGTCTCCCCGGAGCCTTCTCTTCTCCAGGCTGAACAACCCCAACTCTCTCAGCCTGTCCTCACAGCAGAGGGGCTCCAGCCCTCACAGCATCATTTTCATCATTTGAGTTTCTGCATCATCCTCTCTCTTCTAAACCCCCCATTTTACAAGTCTCTTCTTTATTTCTCTTTCAGTTTAAAAAAAAAACCCGAAAATCTTCAGTGGCAGTCCTCTGGAGCTTCTGAAATCCTTTAATTCTCACACTGTCAAGATACCTGATTTTCATGGTGTTCTAAGTGTGAGCTGACGTGTCGCTCTTTATTTTGACCATTTGTAAGACTATTTGTTTGTGATTGTTCATCTCTGCCTATTTGCTGAATTTATTTTTTTGCTTGCTGTGAGCTGGCATCCAGAATACGCTTCCCAACAGCATGAAAGTGAAAATTTGTTTCACCTTCATGAGAAATGCTTCCCTGTATTTTGGTAAATACAGCTTTTGCTGTATTTTCAAAGCCCGTTTTCACTCCTCTTTCCACTTGTGGTTCTACAGATACAGATTTTTATTACTGTCTTTAGCTTAGCTTTCCATACTCCATGTCTGTTTGTTTAATATAATTGTATTGCTTATTAATCTAAGTGAATCTGGTAAAGATTTATTACTTTGGCTCCACGTTAACCTCAGGTCTCCCATCTGCTCCACTGGTTTTCCCCACCGCAATTAGAAAACTTTAAAATACTGTATTTCCTCGGGTGTCTCTAGCTTCTCTGCGGATTTTCTGTACCTGTGGTCTCCCACTACTCCTGACAAATTGTTTAATGCTGTGTGGAAACTTCTGAAAATGTACAGCATTTACTGGTGAAGGAGTGGTATGTGTATCCTACATGCCAGACACGCCATAATCGATTTGTGTGAAGCTTTTCGGCTCCAGTGTGTAACGTGTCTGTGCTGGTTTCAACACTCCATAAATTTTCCCTCTTTATTTCCTTAATTTCTTTGAAATATACCGTGTTTTCCTCAGGGAAAGTAGTTTCACTGGCTTTGGTATTAATAATCCCATAGACAAAAACGTGTTGAACATTGAATTTCACTATTAAGAGAAGGAAAACCAGTTTATGTAAAATGACAAATGCAGTTGGGTAGTAGGGTCATTTAGCTGTATGTACAGGTCTTTTTTTCTAAGAATTACTCATTTTCCTAAATTTCCAAACTCAGTCAGAGAAATACTGTCAGAAAGGTTCAGTCTCTCTCTCTCCTTTGACTGCAGAGAGAACCCAGGTAACCAGCCTGGATTAGACACGTAGCTCCCAGATGGATGGATCAGGGGACAGAAGACAGTGTGACAGGAGCAAAAAATCACAACATAAAACTTCTTATTTTATCACATGTCCCACCAGAATGATCAGGGGACAGAAGAGAGTGTGACAGGAGCAAAAAAATCACAACATAAAACTTCTTATTTTAAATTTCCCTTTAGGGAAAATGGATTTTTCTCAACCATAAGACTATGTAATTTTCTGGCACTCAGCTTAGGATGTGACTAGGGAAAACAGGCCAAGCGTATCACCCCAAAAACTTAATTATTTAGCATTAGCTGAGAAACATTACATAGGGCGTATTTTTATATAAGCACCAAAGTTTTCCATCGTTGATCTGCTTAGAAAAGGAAGCCCCTTCTCAGTTAAAGAAAGGCCAGTATTAGAGCACACCAGCAGCTGCCAGTTAATCTTCATGTTCAGTTTCAGAGCAATCTCTGATAAGGAAAAACTCCAAAAAAAACTTGTTGCCAAGGGTAACTCTGCTTTTTGACAGTGGAATGCTTTAGTAATACCAAAGACCCCAGTGTGAAAATACAAAGGGGCTCCAGTTTAAGAGACTGATTGATTGAAAGCCAGAAGGGCAGCCTGTAGCCCTCAGCACCCAAATGAGGGCACTGATTTTTAACTTGAGTGATACCAGACAGTAGCAGCTTGTTGTTCTCTGGCTTGAATCTTAACGTTTTTGCTAAACGTGATAACTCTAGCAAATTGCATCAGGCGGCCTGACATAAACAAATGTTCTCTATTTTCCTGTACCTTCCCCTGCAAAGCAATTTTGGCCTCAGTAGATTAGGTTGGCAACCAAACGATGATCTGACGCAGCGGAGCTTGAGAGGTCTCTGCCCTTTGATCCGGGCTGTCCCCTCAGTGCCAGCCTGAATTGGCTCATCAGGCTTTTCAGTGTTAAAGAATCTTATAACTCAACTGGCTGGAAATTAAAAGTTTCCCAAGCGGCTCTCTCGAGAAAAAACAGAAAAGCCATCTTTCACATTCTGCTCAATTATTTCATATGTAGAATTATTTCGCGCATTATTTCATTCCGTGAACAAAGACGAAACTACGTAGGACCAGAGATTTTCCCATCCCACCAAACTTCATATTTATGAAGTTTTTAGTGGAGCTTATTCTTATTTTGTGGTAGTCTTCTTTCATTTCACTTGAATATCTTTACAATGAGAATGCTTAAACTATGCAGCTATTGCTGCATTATTTCTTTCATACCAGTATGCAAAAATAATATACTTCATTTCTGTCATCAGAAAACTTGAACATCTAGTTAATTTAACTAGATTTCTTTGATTTTTCTTTTTTTAATTAAAATTACATCCATCCATTATGGTGATGTACTGACTATGCCAGCACGTGGTTGGAAAATATGTATTTTATGTGATTTTCTGGTTAAATGAAAGTCAGAATTTATGTAATTTCTGGTTACATCCAAGTGGTAGATGACAGGAGCTTTAGCTTAAAATATCACCAGTGGTGGGCATGGAGAAGGGGGAGGTATAATTCCTATGGAGCTCTCTGAGCTTCCCCTGCCAGTTCTGAGATGATTTGTTGGGTGATCTTCAGGAGAGGACTGCTATTCATAAACCCCATTTTATCTTGTACCACATCTTTGTTTCCTTTTCCTCATCCTTAGATTTGTGTATGGTTTTAAGGTAAGCCTGTGATTAGGTGGTGCAAGGAAAAGAGAAGAAACTTGTGCCTAGGACTCGTCTGCAGCCAACTGATCCACACTAAATACTTCAGAGTAGAATTGGGCCTTAGATGAGGAGTTATAAAACATCTTCTGTGCAAATACCAGAACAGCAGGTTCATAGGTAGTAAAAT